TAAACCCTACACTAAACCCCTAAACCTTAAACCCTAAACCCTAAACCCTAAACCATGAGCTTCCAAGAGTGGAGCCCTGAACCCCCGAAAGTCAGCCCCGGGTCTTCACACACAGGCCGCCGACTTTTCAGCTGCCTCCAGCTTCAATGGCGCCCGTCCCGGGTTCTTCTTTGGCACAGGCACCTTGTTTGAAGGTTTAGGGTTTAGGGCTTTAGGGTTTCAGGGTTTCAGGGTTTTAGGGTTTTGGGTTTAGGGAAGCCCTATAGCCTTAAGCCCCAAGCCCTAAGCCCTGACGGTTTTGGTGCCGGAGACAGCACAAATCGCAAACTTGAAAGCCCAAATGCCTGCAACCGCGAGTTACCCTAATAGGAAGCCACTTTATTACTTGCTACAAGTCCTATGGTGGTAGCTTAAGAGTAATTTCCCTAACAAGGAAGGATCCCCCATAAACCCAAAATAGTCCGGCCGAGTTACGGGCTGTGTAACCCCTGCTGACGAGGCGCCCAGGGGACAGGCTACTACCGAGACATGCAGGCGCAGCGGTGGATAATTAGGGTTCAGGGTTCAGGGTTTAGGGATCATTTCCTTCAGATGTTACATTGAACTACCAAAACCTACCTGTTTGTTTGGTCGCTGGACATTTTACATTAGGGTTTATAGCAGGAACCTACACAAAAGTAAGGGTTCTGGTAGTATAAGTTAGGGTTTAGGGCCAACCCCGAACCGGTAGGCACAAGTCCCAATGCCGAGCACAAAAACCCGCTTGGGGTTGGGCTCTCCGAAGTTGGACACCCAGGGGTTTCCCCCTAAACCCTAAAACCGTTCGCCTTCATGCTGTTTTTCAAATTAGGATTTGGGGTTCAAGGGCTTAGGGTTTTTTTTGGGAGATGTTTAGGGTTCAAGGCTTCTGGCTTCAGGCATTGAGGGGTTGGGGTGGAGTGATCCTTCTCGGGCTGACGGGTCAGCGAAGAGACTACCCACAAACTCTCAAGAAGGATACCTCATTGCACCACACTCTACCCTAAAGCCTAAACCCTAAACTGCTAGAGACTTTGAGGATGGTTCTTTGCAGGACACAATCTCAAAACTCTACCCGCCTAGAATGGTTCCCTTGAGCAGTTTAGGGTTTAGGGTTTAGGTTAAGGGTTTAGGGTTGCTTTTGCTGTTGCTGGTCGGTGCTGTTGGTTGCATTTGTTCGCAGCTGCTTTTCTCGTGCTGAGCACTGCGAGGCATTTTGCCCCAAAGCCTCGAGGCCTTGACGCCACCTGAAGCTCTCATCTCCAACCTCTAGTTCTTGCCCCCAAGCGCGAATGAAGCTACTAAGCGCCTAAACATCTTCAACCTACTAAACAGAACCCCGATAAGGTTACCGATGATGAGGATAACCTCATCGAACCGGGGACACGCGTGGTCGTGAACCACCTTGAGGCCAGTGGGGTCAGGCTTGGTATTCAAACGACCCTCCGCAGCCGAATATGCGTCGGTACATCCTCAACAGCAGCTGGGACGGACCCATAGACTCCAGAGTAGTTCCTTTTTAGGATTACCTTATAGGATCCTAGAGCCCTGGGCTCGAGACCTTCCAGGGGTAGGGCGGATAACGACGAACCCTCGAGAGATCTTAGCTTGCCATGGTGGATAATCAGGAGAGGTCCAAGGCGTTTCCTGCGGGTGGGATGCTGAATGTCTTCAAGGACGGTTCTGTGGTTGCAATTCGGCTACGGGCTCCTACTACGGTTCGTGAACTTCTGGCAGCCGAACGAGGTCTATGTGGGCCCGGTTGTACATGGAAGGTTTTGCATCAAGGCCGCCGCTTGGGTCCAGGGGAGTATCTGCACCCAGATGCTGACGGCCCATATGAGATCGTATCCGAGCCAAAGCGTCAAGCCAAAAACGCAGTTCATTCCGTGTCAGTTGTGGTTGCTGTGTCTCAGGAGCCATCGCCGCACACAGAGTTAGGACCAGCATTGTCAGGAACCGGTTGTGATTTGTCCTTCACCTCTGACAACGCTGAATCTTCTGTGTCAGGGGTGTCTGATGTCCTGGTCTGGGCAGGCCTTCTGAGCCTGCAAGCCATGTTCAGGCGGACCGATGTAATGGTCATCTCTCCAGCTACAGTCATGGCTTGTTTGTCGGTTGATGTCAGGCTCACAGGGCTTTCAGCAGCTTTGTTGTGGCCGGAAGCGGCTGTCAACGCATTGCTTCCGCTTTGTGTGGACTCGCATTGGTCACTTCTCGTGCTTGTTCGCGCTGGGGCAGGGACTTGCCGTGCAGTGCTGTGGGATGGAGTTCATGGAAGAATCACCGCTCAGGCCCAAGGGCTAGCCACTTTTATCGCAGGCCTGCATGGTCTGGTGATGCAAGATCTGAGTGAGTCGCAGCTTTGGAGCCAGGTGGATTGCTTGAGTTGCGGCACGGTTCTCCTTGCTCATGCAGTCGCGTTTCTCTCGGGAGATCTTACCGCTCACCCTGTTTTCCTGGAGGATGCCTCCAGGTTTGTGAAGGGTTTCCCAGCGCATCAGGGCATGATTTTCGGGAAAGGCGGTCTGAATGAGGCACAAGACTTCGAGTTGAAAGGCTTGCTGGTTGAACATGGGGTTCCTGAAGCTGCTGTTGCGCAGAGGATTCAAGATGCCATAAAAGTGCTTGGACCAGGCCCCATCTCGACGGCACTGGGGACGAAGAATAGCTGGCAAGCACTTAAGGCAATCGCTTCCAAACCTTCAAACATGTTTCGCTGGGTCAAATCAGACGAATTGGGTCAACACATTGAGCACAAGGCTGCGCAGCGCTTTGGAGTTGCCGTTCCGAAAGCCAAAAACAAGAAGCAAGCTAAACGCGCAGGCCAGCCAACCTTAGCTCCACTGCATATTGACCCTCTGCAACTTCAAATGACTCAGGGCAGTTTCATTGCTTCAAGTGGTGAACGCTTGAGCCAGCTTGCTTTGTCGGACGTGATCAGCCAGGCGAGCGGCGTTTGCTTCTGTTCCGTGCATCAGGCCTCGCATTTCTTGACGCACTACGAGACAATAAGTACCGAGGCTCTGTGCTTAATCACAACAGCTGAGGTTCCTGCGGAAATATGCGGGACAGCGCCTGTGTCAAATCTGCGTTTTCCAGCCCTGTATCTGCCTACACAGGAAGCCGTTCTTGTTCGTGGCTCCATGATCCAGCTTGGTGACGAAGTGGGGCAACTTGCACAAGAAAACATGGATGATGTCGAGCAAGTTGACACTGCCGTGTGCAAAATCCATGTGTTCCGGGATGAGCTTGCAATCGCTTGGGCCACTTTTGTCGATGCTCCCTTGCGTCAGTTGTTGCAGCTTGTTCCAGCGCTGACCATGTGTCGAGAGCCCAAATGCCTTGGAGACTGCGGTCGTTTCCATGCTGCTGTCGATGAGGCTGTGGAGCAGTTGATCCTTGATGTGTGGGCGCGCCAGTTCATCAAGCTGGATGGTGGAAGGGAAAAGCCGGACCAAGCATCCGCCTTTGTTGCATTCCTCCGTGTCCCTGCTTCTGCTGTGTCGCACTTGCATAAGATAAGTTGTGCAGGATTGTACGTCGAACCTAGAGCCCCCAACGGTTCAGGGCCGGACCCTGCTTTCTCTGTCATCTGGCTGCCAGGTTCTGACTCTGAGGCAGCTCGCCATATCATGCGGACATGTTCCAAGGTTGTTGCCGTCTGTCGTTTGGGATCCAGGTACGGAGTGCGTGTTCGTGAATGCGATGAAGAGGGGGTTTTCAGGGCTTTGCGCCCAAACCAGGAGTACATTAAAGTGAGAGTGACCAGCAAATTCCGCGTTCACCCGCTGCCACATGGAATGCAGCGTCAAAGTTTGGTTCAGTTGTTGCGCAAATGGCAGTGGACTGCCAAACCTTTGCAGCCTTGCAAGGGAGATGCTGCTGGTGGTGCTTGGGAGGTTGGCTCCAGCAGCGATCCTCCAGCCTTGGCACTGCCGTTGGGAGACCAACACGTACTCATCACTAAATTGCGCGGTCCTGCCATTTCCGATGCAGCACCTCCCACTGTCTATGCCTCGCAGCGGACCAAAAAACACATCCTTTACGATGATGGTTTCACCCCGGAGACTGCAAGAGATCCTTGGTCAGATGGCAATGACCCTTGGTCACGAGCCAAGTTCAAAGGCCCCCCAGGTCTCCCACCACCGTCGATACCACCTGTAGCACCTGCGCCCACCAAGTTGGCCAAGCTGGAGACTGACATGAAAGACAATCTCGAGCAGTATGTTCGTGAGCAGGTTGCTGCTCGAAGCTCCTTGACTCCTTCTGATGCGCAGGAGGCTCGTTTAACGCAACTTGAGTCCACCATGCAAGAGCTCAAAGCTCAAAACGACAAGTTTGAGGGATGGTTCCAAACTTTCGGCACCAAGGTGCAGCAGCAGGCTGATCAAGTCTCGGAGGTACAACAGGCTGTCCACACGCAAGGTGCCGAGCTTCAGCAGGTTCGTCAGGAGATGGGGACACAGTCCACAGTCATACAGGCCAGTGTCCAGCAGGCAGTCACTTCAATGCAGACTGAGCTTACTGCGCAACTATCGGCTCAGCTTGCAGGGCAGCTTGAGCAGATCCAGGGGCTCCTAGGGAGCAAAAAAGCCCGAACAGAGTGACTAGGACGCCACGGCTGCGGATTTTGGGGCATCCGCAGGCTTCGAACCATATCTTTGCCCCAATCCATCTTTCGGTGCATCTTTGTCTGGCTTTTGTGCCTTGCGCCGGTCTTAGCTGGCGCCCAATCCTCGGCTTTACACCATTATGGTGCATTGGATGCAGATGGGGACTGCGTCCAAGATCCACCATGGTCTTTGCGCCCTCCAGTTGGCGCTCCTCAGTTCTGGCCTTCCTTGACTCGCTTTCCTCAGGGCCACCCAGATGGAGTTCCCTTCGTTTCGACTGCCCGGCTTTGTGGTTTTAGCCCGGTAGTTCTTCGTGTTGGCGAGGCATCCCATCCGGGCCCGTGTTATTCAGATAGTCCTTTGTCGTCGAGTTCCAATCTCCTGATTGGGTGTTCCAATCCTTCAGGGCTTAGGGGGAAGGAGTCCCTGCTGTTAGACATGGGACCAGGGATCTGGTCACTGTCTGAGACCCAGCTGAGTGCGGTGACGCAACAGTCGTCCACCAAAAAGCTGAGGTACGAGGCTAGTGCTTTGAATCGCAATGTGCGCATCCACTGCGGTGCCCCAGCGGCGCTGCGGTGTACGTCCACCTGGGCAGGGGCATACACGGGTGTTATGCAGTTGGGGGATTGTCCGTCAACGACCGTGTCGATCCAATGGCCGGCTGGGGTTTACGAGACAGGAAGGGTGCAAATCGTGCAGCACCTTTTAGGTCACATACCGGTGATCGTGGGCAACATTTATGGTTATCCACAGAGCCCGCTGTGGCCAGACGCACGCCAAAGGACAGACACTTTGTTGGAAACGGTCACAACCGAACTAGTGATGGGACGAAGCGGACTCAGAATAATCTGTGGAGACTTCAATCATGATGAGGACAAGCTACAACAACTTTCCATCTGGAGGTTGCACGGTTGGGTAGAGGCCCAGGCTCATGCGGCGGCCTTGTGGGGACAAGATGTTGTTCCCACATGCAAACACAGCACTAGAAGGGACATGTTCTGGATGTCGCCCGAAATTGCTGCTCTGTTGACTTCGGTGCGGGTTCTCGAGGTTTTTGCTGAGCATTCGTTCTTGGTGGCAGGCTTTTCAGTCCCGATGCGGAGTGTGCTCCAATGGTCCTGGCCACAGCCCTGTCTCATTCCTTGGTCGGAGGTGGACACGTCCTCTTGGGCGTCTTTGCCGTGCACATGTCCGGGACATTCCTCTGACTCAGACACCACGGCCTGGATGACCCAATTTGCCCGCACGTATGAGAATAGTCTTGACGGTTTTGTGAAGGGGGTCCCTGGAGCGCGGCTCCCAAGCCATTGCTACGGTCGTTCAAGGCGCCTGCTACCGCAGCGACGAGCTGACCCGGTCATCCCTCTTCGGCGGAGTAGGCCCGGTGAGGAGGCACCACGAAGCGATTTTCTCGGCTTGGAATGCAAACGATGGTTTCCACAACTTCGCCGAATACAAAGTTTGCATCATGCCACAGCAGCGGCCAATCCTACTGCAGGGGCTGTAGCTTATCGCATTGAGTTGTGGGCGGCCATCCGCCGTGCCAAGGGTTTCAGTCCTGACTTTGCCCACTGGTGGGCTCAACGGCCCGTTCAGCTTCAAGGAAGCCCGAGTCAGTTACCGCAAGGTGTTCCTTCGGCGTCCGTGGCGAGTAGCCTTTTCCTGGACTTCAGAGAAAACTACCGCAAGTTCGAATGCTGGCATTTGAAGCAGCGATGCAAGGTTATAAAGGCCAAGCTGGCGGAATCAAAAAACCAGCTGTATCGTTCTCTCAGGAAGCCGGCCCCGCCTCAGGTCGACACGTTGATCATTCATCGGTCGTATGCCATTTTGGCATCAGAGCCCACAACTCGACAACTGCACTTGGAGGCTCCAGTTGACACAAGAGGAGCATGCACATGGTCGGTTGACGGCCAGCCTGTTCAGGTCCAATCCTTGGAAGGTGACGTCTGTGTTGTCGAGGAATCTTTTCCTTTCAGTCATGCTGTGGAGATTGAGCAGCATCAGACGCTTAGTTCAGTTAGTCACATTCACGATGAATTCGTTTCCCTGTGGCGGCCTCGCTGGCAGCAGCATACAGAACTGCCGCCGGAGCATTGGGATCGCCTCATTGCATTTGCCAAAGCATATCTGCCACGTTTGCACTTTTCATTTCCGGACATTTCGATTTCTCAGTGGCGACAGGCCCTACGTAGGTACAAACCGCGGGCAGCCCGAGGACCCGACGGGTGGTCCAAAGACGACCTCGAGAACATGCCGGATGCATGGGCTCAATCCCTCTTGGATTTACTTCATGGAATCGAGCAAGGACGGTGCGAATGGCCGGAACAACTCCTCCAAGGCTTTGTTTGTAGTCTACTCAAACCGGCAGGTAAAGGGGATGCCAATGGATACAGGCCCGTATGCCTCCTCAGTATCATTTACCGAACCTGGAGTGGCATTCGAGCCAGGCAAGCCATTGCACAGTTGTCGGGTGTCGTTCATGATGAGTGTTTTGGCTTTGTGAGTGGGAAGAGTTCTTCCATGCTTTGGTGGACTCTTCAAGTTCAAATCGAGCTTAGCTGTCAAGGCCATCAAGACGCATTCGGAATGGTCGGAGACATTGTCAAGGCATTCAATGCACTACCTCGTCGTCCTTTATTGGCCGCCGCGGCCACCTTGGGGTTCCCAAGCCATGTTTTGGGTCCGTGGGCAGCCTTCTTGACAGGAGTACAGCGCCGCTTCATCGTCAGGGATTGTGTGAGTCAACCGTTACTGTCCACTTCAGGCTTTTGCGATGGCTGTCCGCTTTCGCCTGTAGCGATGCTTCTGGCAGATTTGATCTTCCACTCGTACCTGAAGGTATTTGCACCATCCATCAGGTCCCTCAGCTATGTGGACAACTTGGCAGTGATCGGCAACGATTGCGGGCAATTGGCCAAGGGAGTGAATCTGAGTCGCTGTGTATGTGACTTGCTTGGCTTGGAGCTGGATGAATCGAAAACTTACGTGTGGGCTGCTCAGCCCGGCTCAGCCGCATCTTTGCGGGTACTTTCCTTGCCTGTATGCGAACACGCTCGTGAGCTAGGCGGGTTTTTGTCGTACGGCCGGCGAACGCGAAATGCAGCTTTAACACAGCGTTGCAAAGCTCTCGAACCACAGTGGCAAGCACTCCATAGATCACCAGCTCCTCTCCCGTTTAAGCTGGCCATCTTGCCAGGGAAGTTTTGGGCCTCGGCTTTGCACGGGGCGACGGGATGCCCTCTGCCCGCAGGATGTCTGACTTCGCTGAGGGCCGCTGCGGTCAAGGCTTTAGGATTGAAGTCGGCCGGTTCAAGTTCAATGCTTCGTTTGTCGCTTTGCCCTCGCATGGAGACTGACCCAGGCTTTTGGATCTTTTGGGCTTTGTTGAAAGACATGCGGCTGCACTGCCAACGAATGCCGACTCTTCTGCTCCAGTGGAGGTTGTTCATGGCCAACTTCAGTGGGGATTTGTTTCAGGGCCCTTTTTCACAGGTCTTGCGGTTGTTCTCTGAGGTGCATTGGCGCGTGCTTGTGCCCCCTGCCTTTGAGGACCATGAAGGGCTCAGGCATGATCTGCTGCAGATCCCCATGGCCATGCTCAGGGATGTTGCTGAGCGTGGGTGGCTGAACTTTTGTTGCCAGACAACACAACCATCGACAAACCATGCAGGACCTGGAGGGAATGGAGGCATCTCTTGTGTCGCTTGATAATGCCCAACTATCGGCACTGGACACAGCTCGCCTTGCTGCAATCCAGTCTGGCTCTTTCATTGCCGGAGCTTCTCATGCTCATTATGATGCCAGCCAAGATGGAATGTGCCCGCACTGCCATGTTCCAGATGATGTGGAACACAGGATGCGCCACTGCCCCAAGTATGAGGCAGCTAGAGCTCAGGATGCGTGGGTCCTTCAGCGTTGGGAAAGCTTGCCGACTTCCTTGACACACCATCTTCTCCCGCCAGCAAGTCGGCTTATGCCTTTGCTGAGAGCGCAGCTTGCAAACATTCCGGATGTTACAGCGCAGTTTAACAGTGTGCGCGCCACGGCCGGGCGCCAGCACCTGTTCACAGATGGGGCTTGCATGCTTCAAGATGTTAAGGGCCTTGCTTTGGCAGGTTGGGGCGTCATCAGTGCTTCAACTGGAGACGTGGTGTCCTGTGGGCCACTACACGGAGTGTGGCAAACAGCTCCTCGCGCCGAACTGTGCGCCGTGATCAGCGCGGTTAGGTGGGCCATCGCAACACGCGTCGCTGTGAACCTTTGGACCGACTGCAAACATGTGGTGCTCGGAGTACAAAAGCTTCTGGATAGCCCTTGGGACCCCCTGCCGATTGACAACCAGGATCTGTGGTCACAGTTGGCGCAGCTTTTGCAACAGCTTGAGTCGGGCTTCTTGCAAATTGTGCACATCCCATCCCACTTGGACCCCGCGCGATGTGAAAGTCCTTTTGAGAAATGGGTGGCTCGGCACAATGCTCACGCAGACACGGTGGCAGGCATAGCCAATAGCAGCCGTTCGTATGTGTTTCAACAGCTGTACATGCAAGTCATCAACGAACAGCTGGAGATCAAGTCCATCATTCGTGCTTTGCGTGGCATTTTCTTTCGCATTGCCGCCCAAACTTTGCAGGGAAAAGGCCAAGCAGTGGTTGAAAATCAGCACGAGGCGGAGGAAATTCAACAAGTACCACTGCCTGTAGGCGTGCCACGCTCGGAGACCACGGCAGAGGCTTTTCCTTTGGACTGGAGACGCCGGTGCGAGGCGATACAGATCGACCTGCCCGTCCAGTTTATCGTAGCGGTCACGGAGTTCTTCATGGAACAGGATGGTGATGCCGCCGTTGCTTTCGAAGTGAGCTGGATTGAGTTTGCGTTTTTAGTTACGGTAGCAGATGTGCTCGAATTCCCCGCATTTCATCCAACGGCCGGAGTGTGGGTAAATGCTCGTGACATGCCTTTGAGGCCTCCCCTGTCAGCCGCTGCTCAGATTAGGCTCCTCAGGAGGGCTTTGTGTGCTTCGTTAAAGGCATGTGATGTACAGGCTACTTTTCTGAAGGGTTGTGCTGCAGTGCAGTGTGGTCTGCTCATGCGCTCTCCGGGGTTGCTCATGGGCGCTGATGTTGAGCTTATGAAGAAAGCACGGGCACGACTATCAGAGTTTACTGCAACTCGCCCAATACGGAAGAGTTGCGATCTCAGCCGCAGAATTGCGGATTGACTGGCAAAGACCTTCTGGACATGGCTCGCTCTGCACTGCTTGTGCTGTGCACGGGCCTCTTAGTCGAGTGAGATACCTTATAGGATCCTAGATATAAGCCACAAAAAAAGGAACTGCCATGGAGCCTATGGGTAAAGCGCAGAACCCGGATGCGGAGGTGTACAACTTGGCAGACGACATTTTTGCAGAAATGGCCCGACCCAGAGAACCCAATACACCTTAATTAAGGAATATACCTTAAAATATAGGGGCCTTGATATTATGATTTACTGTATATTCCTTAATTAAGGGGTATTGGGTTCTCTGGGGAGACCTGAGTGTGTCGCCGTGGTGCAATCCTTGGTCGATTTCGCCGACTTCGGGCAGGATGAAAGTCCTTGAGCCATAATCAGAGCCTTCCGTTAATTAAGGAATCTTCGAGCACCTTCAAGAGGGACTAAACCCTAAACCCCTAAATCCTAACCCCCTAAACCCTAAAACCCCAAACTGGGTGCTAAACCCTAAACCCTAAACCCTTAAGGAGCTAAACCCTAAGCCCGAACTTCTAAACGATGACTAGGCTTTCTGGCCAAGAGGGCAACCTCTGGCCTGAGATCTCTTGTGGTTTCGGCTTCGGGCTTAGGGTTTAGGGTTTAGGGGTTTAGGGATTTAGGGTTTAGGGGTTTAGGGGTTTAGGGTTTAGGGTTTAGTGCGTTTGGTCACCCGGAGACGTCGGAATAAGCGGAAGAGACACCTGATGTCATTCTTATCAAGTTAAGTGAACGGAGATACCTTTTTAATTAGGCTTGTTTTAACAGCTAGTTGTAACACGACGACCCTAAACCCTAAACCCTAATATCAGTAACACGACGCCAGCAAAGTTATCCAAAAAGAAAGGACCCCATCCAAACCTGAGGCTTCGCCGACCCGAATGTGCCTTGAAGATGCGGGGGCTTCAGCTTGTAAGGGTTTGGTTTGAGTTCAGGGTTTAGGGTTTTTAGGGTTTTTAGGGTTTTTCGGGTTTATAGGGTTTATAGGGTTTATAGGGTTTAGAGTTTAGGCTCAGTTTCAGGGTTTCGCTGTTCCGGTCTAGGCTGATCTTGCCGAGCGCGACGAGGCAAAGACAGCGGCGTCCGCAAGGGCACGCGCACCTGCGGGCGGCTATGCTCCCGCAACTTGGACCCGCATGTCGGAAACTCGACATTCTCAGGTGGGTTGGTTACCGTTATAGGAGCCTTACAGAAGGTCTATATACCTGAAAGAAGCCTGAAAGAAGCCCTATATACCCTAAACTCCCCACCTGTAGTTTTCCTTTCACTTAACCCCTAAACCCTGAACCCCTGAACCCCTAAACCCCTAAACCCTAAACTCCCCACCTGTAGTTTCCTTTAAAAAAGCCCTATATACCTTATTATAGAAGCCTTACCTTATTATGGCAACTTAAATAAAATCCCTTAACAAGATCCCACAGCCCAGGCCATCCCGGCGGCGGCTGGAGCTGGGCCAGAAGACTTGGCGATTCCGGAGGGCAGCCGCTGGGCCACCATTTTGGGGTTTAGGGTTTAGTGTTTTTAGGGTTTTTTAGGGTTTTTTAGGGGTTTAGGGGTATAGGGTTTAGCGGTTTAGCGGTTTAGGGTTTATGTCTAGGGTGCAAGCATTCGGATTGAGGGTTTATGCCTAGGGTGCAAGCATTCGGATTGAGGGTTGATGTCTAGGGCGCAAGCATTCGGATGGAGGGTTTATGTCTAGGGCGCAAGCACTAGGATTGAGGGTTGATGTCTAGGGTGCAAGCATTCGGATGGAGGGTTTATGTCTTCGGTGTTTGTAGTGTTGGCTTCAGGGTCTTAGAGGGCTTTTAGAAAAAAAACGCTGACGCCTAGAAACAAACACTGATTACCTGAAGCCAGAACTGCCCCAACGCCCCGATGCCTTAAAGCCCCCGAAAACTGCCACACTAAATCCTCTCTAGGCCCTAGGATTGATGATAAACATCCTGCATTACCTTAAGGACCCTAAACTATGGGAATGATGGTATATATCCCTTATTATGGGGTACTGCCGGATTTATATCATCAACAGCACCACCCCGAAACTCCTAAAGCCCTCACTCCCCAAAGGCCCGGAAGCTCAGGCATCATGCTTGGCCTCGTCGGGCACCCGAACGTGGGCAAGTCCTCCATGGTCAACAGCCTCATGGGCGGGAAGGCCCGAGGCGAGATTGTTTAGTGTCCAGGTTTTGGGGCCCAGACATTGAGTTTAGGGTTTAGGGTTTAGTAGGGTTTAGGGGAGATTGTTTAGGGCCCAGGTTTTGGGGCCCAGACATTGGATTTAGGGTTTAGGGTTTAGTAGGGTTTAGGGGAGATTGTTTAGTGTCCAGGTTTTGGGGCCCAGACATTAGGTTTAGGGTTTAGGGTTTAGGGTTTATGGTGGTGACGTTAGTGCAGATGATCATCATGAAAGTGCTCATGACCATGATCATAAATCATGAGCCTTGTCATCACCACCAGTATCACCATCATCACAGACTCCGCAGGCATCAGACACACTACCTATCACTGTCTGCCACTGCGACGCAAGAGTGTAGAACTGCGGGCTTTGCTGCTCAACACGACGCCCCAGACCATGGTTGTTGTTGCTGTTGCTGCCGCATCACAGGTTCATGTATGACACGTCTCAACCCCGTTTGAAGCGTGTTCGGGTGGTTCTCTAAATTAGGGTCCCTTTTTCGGTCCCCGATATAGTACGGCACCCTCATAAAAGGGACCCTAAAGTGGACTCTAACTTAGAGAACTACCCATTCTGATCCCCAAGCTTAAGCTTCAACTCTGTCCCGCAGAAGCCCTGAAAGAGCAGGTGGTCAGCGTCAAAGCTCCTCGGTTGCCCTTGGCCTTCAAGGAACCTTAAACCCTAAACCCTACTGTTGATGACATAAATCCTGCATCACCTTAAGGACCCTAAACTATGGGAATTATGGTATATTCCTTGCTTTCGGTAATGCAGGATTTTTTTTATCATCAACCGTATGAGCCCTAAAGCCTAAAGCCCTTAAAGGGTACCTGTCAAGATGAGCCTGGGGCTCTAGGGTTGCAGCATCTTCGATCCAGAAACTTCAGACCTCCTTATAGCTAACCCTATGCTTCCGGGGACCTTGTTATCGGGCCGTTAAGGGGTCTAGGGCTCTACCTATAAGGTCCTTGGAAGCACAGGGTAAGAAAAAGGTGCATAAAGCATATCAGTGACCGGCCTATGAACTACACCATACAGCAGGCTCATGATCTCTTGTATCCTAAGCCCTAAACCCTAGGCCCTAAGCTCCAAACCCTAAACCCCAAACCCTCAACCCTAAACCCTAAACCTCAAACCCTAAAGCCCAAGCCCTAAACTCTAAAACACCCTCTACAAGTTAGGG